TAAAATCTTTAGGCCGTTTACTATAATAAATTGGTATATTTTTATGTGTAATAAAATTAACTTACGTTAATACTGTTTTGTCCTGCAAAGCCAATATGGATATTTTTTGAATATGGGTAAAGTTATGTTTCTTTGTAAATTCTACAATGTCTTTGTCAATATTAAATCAGTAAACATGTATTAAACTCCGCAATGTCCATCATGTAATATCTCTAATATTTATTTCTGTAATCAAACACAGGAGAGTAACTTTTATTACCATCTCAAAAGCATGCAAGGATGGTATTATTATTGAGGGCATTTTAAACATATATAATATAAATGATACAGGATGAATGCGTTTCGCGCAATGTGTTCTACTTTTGTTACGCTAAGACAGTGCGATTTACCATTTAGAGCTTTATCACTACTTTGCACGTGGTAGAGCCATGTTGCAGCTATATTACAGTATAGTTGTAGCACGAATGGGTCGGCTCGACCGGGGAAGGACCACGCTCTCACAGAATACCAGCGTCAAATAGCAGCTTAACACTGCTGTGTTTCGTATGGTGAGTGTAGAGAACCGGAGACCATTTTTACTGGAAAAGAGGCATTCCATCTTAGTCCTCACAGGTGACAACGTATCTGCATTTTGATTCGCAAACGAGGATAAATGTAGATGTCTATGGGCCACAGCAACCACTTACCATCAGGTGGACTGTGCTCGTTTGTTACCCTATCCTATAAAAAAAAACTTACTATCATGTGGGATTGTGGTCAAACACTGGCTTATAATAATTAAAATAAGACGAATTAAATCGTTTTCTCATGTTAGGCTACTGATACAATTCTCGATGCTGATAATTCTTTGAAATAAAAAAGCGACTATTTTCAAAATCTTTATTCAATTAACTTTTCGACATTTTTTTTGTAATATTAAAAATATAGAGTTATGGGCTACTTGGTAGCGAAGAAATACTAAACTAATAAATATAGAATTATGTTAAATGTTATGTATGTCATAACAATGTGTTCCACCAGTTTGGTCTCTGTCTAAAAGAACAATTCACATTGAGTTTTAAAAGTAGTCCACTGGGTGAAACCGCGAGGGACGTGAGAAGGAATTCGCTCGCAAGTTCTTTTAGCGAGTATGAATGTGTTCAAACTGAATTAAGATAAAACATACACGTCCTGTGTCGTTGATTAAAATGATTATTATATTTTATTTAAAAAATATGTTGCCTTCACTCAATGATTTTATTCCATGTTATGGCGCTGTTTTACATACATTAATTGCGCATGGATATACATCCAGACCCGGAACAATTATTTAGGCCTTTCAATTGCTTGTTCCGAGCGGTATTCTAGTTTACAGGCAACGTGTTTAGCTCTAAGTCACTGCTTACCAAGCCATCAACGTATGTGTTTATATTGTTTGTCACGATTAAACTGAAATTACTTTTGCAATTGTGATTGCTTTATCTTCGAGGTCCAGATATGTATTTTCAAGAAATTGTACAACATGAGAGACACAAAAGAAAGGAAACAAATTTTGCAAAATCGTGTTTTTGCAAAATCGTGTTTCGCATTCTAGGTTTTTAACGACTCATCTATTTTTTTAATAATTCTAAGCCAATGCTTGACTACTATCGCACCTCATGATGACTGGTGATCCAGCCGAAGATGGTGAAGCGCACCGACTTGCTTTACAAATGCCATTTACTCTTGCCTTGAAGACACACCGACGTTGTAATCGGATGAAAAGACAGAGGTAAAATTATTCCACTCCTTATTTTATAGGAATATAAATTTTATGATGACTTACATTTTTATATACTGGAATTAATACACAAAATAGCGTATTACGTTTTTAATTCGTGTAACATCCATTTAATTATACTTAGATATGACTTATTTTATTAGGTTAGGTACCAGTTTAAACGCCATGTGCGCTTAAATTAAAAATCAGCTCCTAACTATTGTAGAGTAAATAGAAAAGAACATCTTACAGTATATTAATAGGTAATATAAATGATATGATAATATTACAAATTGTAGTGTATTCACATTTAGAAAAAAAATCTTGGTTCTAAAATTTAATAATAGTATCGCGCTGAATCGCCCCAATGATTGATCACACAATTTTTATCAAAGAGCGTATGTGGTAAGTTGGCTAAAATAGAGTAACAAGTGTCACGCTGCAGCTATATTGGTCTCACAGACTACCACGCTCACACAGAATACCAGCATAAAATAGCAGCTTAACGCTGCTGTTTCGTATGGTGAGTGTAGAGAACCGGAGACCCGTTTTACCACTAATTTTGTGTGTTGTGATTATGATTGTAACGACGGTGTATCAACTGACCACTAACCCGAGTTATATCTAAAGGGGCTTTAGAAACCCACGCATCCAAATAAGACTTAATAAAAACGCTTTGCGCGATAATTCTTACCACTAGTTAGACACTACGTTAATAATGGACACGTCAGATTATAATTTTAAAATACAACTAATTACATATTATAACGACATTTATGACACAACAAATACAATTAACTTTACTTATTTTAGCGCGTTTAATTTTACGTTACGGTTTTTATGGTCATTGTTGTGATTTTTAAAGTTCCGATATAAATTTTTGGAACGCACTGAACTGATTTCGAAACGTCAAAATTAAACGCATTAAAATCCCTATTCTTTTTATTCAATTTATAGTATTGTCGTAAATATAAGAAGTCAATATAATTATGACACAATACAATAAGGTCACAGTTTTACATACGTATAATTGTTTAATAAACTAACCATCAACTCTATGAACGAACTAAAACAAAACAACACAGACATTGACTAGTGAGGCAATAAATTACATTTACCCATGCATGCAGACCCTGTCGTAATCTTAAAATTAATTATACAACATTATGCATTTCGTTATATGGCACATATGTAAATCCAAATCTAAACTATAAATATAACCTTATGAAATATGTTGGACAAAGCAGTAATTTTTGTAACAGTACATCATAAATGGAAATATAAGTCTATTATGATCATTTTATTTTAAGAAATAACTTTGTAATTGAATAATTTTAAAGTTATATATATATAAAACATTTAATAATAGATATTTACCTATGAAATTGCCGATCTGCAGTATGCCATTCCAAATCAAAATAATAATTATGGAATTATTCTATACGTGGTAGAGCCATGCTGCAGCTATATTATGGTTGTAGCACGAATGAGTCGGGTCGATCGGGGAAGGACCACGCTTTCACAGAATACCAGTGTAAAATAGCAGCTTAACGCTGCTGTGTTTCGTATGGTGAGTGTAGAGAACCGGAGACCCATTTTACTGGAAACGAGGCATTCCATCTTAGTCCTCACGGGTGACGACGCATCTGCATTTTGATTCGTAATCGAAGATAGATGTAGATGTCTATGGGCCGCAGCAACCACTTACCATCAGGTGGACTATGTGCTCGTTTGTCACACTTATCCTATAAAAACAAAATATGAGTACCGTCGTGGCAGCAAAGCGGCACAAGTGGCACGCTACATCAACGACGTTTACGGAACAAATACTACAAACGAACGCACCACCTGTTATTTATTTGCCTGCTTCAGTTCTGGAAATTACGACCTAAAAATGAGCCCCGTGGTCTTCCGAAACTTTGAATTAAAGGCGATTGTGGAAGCTGGCTGAATTAGCAACAACTTTCGACGTTAGCATCAACACAATATTAGTCCGATTGTGTCAAATTTGCAAGTTAAGAAACCTTGACAAATGGGTGCCCCACGAACTCAATGATCGCCAGGGCGAAGTACGCGTCGAAATGCCTTACACTGCTCAACTCAACATAAACGAAGGAATTTTGAACCGCATCGTTACCTGCAATGAAAAATGAATTCCATTTGACAATCGCAAGCGCCCAGCAAGTTGGTTAGATCCTGATTCAGCACCTATAATGCCCTAAACGAAAATTTACCCCTAGAAAAGTGATGGTCACTGTTTGGTGGTCCTAATGCCGGTGTGATTCTTAACAGCTTATTACCAAACGGAATGAGCATTACTGCAGATGTATACTGTGAAGAACTGAACTGATGAACTGATGGAAAGCTCGCACGTCTCCAACCAGCTTTGGTCAAGCGCTCGTTTCCGCTGCTCCTACACGACAACGCGCGATCATATTGCACAACGGTCTCATAGTTACAAGAGCTGGGATTGGAAGCTCTCCGTCATACGCCGTACTCATCACACTTTGCGCCTACAGACTTCTACTTTTTTACAGAATTTGGATAACTGTTTGGCGGGAAAAAAATTCAATACCCTAGAGGCGGCTCCCTCCCAGCTGATTTCTTTAAGAAAGACATCAGTAAACTGACACTGCGTTGGCAAACAAGCATCGATTGCATGGGTGATTACCTTGATTAATAGTAACACAATACCTTTGAGTAAAATAAATATATTGCAGGCAAATTACTTTAATTATTCGTAAGTTTGTTCCAGTTATCTAAAGCATTTACATTACAATTACAGTTACTAAACGGACCACGGGTCTTATAAATAATTAGTAGCTAGCAATAATGATTTGAACAAACAATACATTTCTTTATTACGTCATTTTGAAAATTACTCCATCTCATAACAATATTAGTAAATTACTAGCTGTTTCCCGCGATTACGCCCGCGTGTAATTTAGGGTTTTAATTTTACTACGCGGAACCCTAATTCAGCTATCTGCCAGTAAAAGTCCCATCAAAATCGGACGTTTCGGAGATTAGCCGGAACAAACAGACAGACAGACAGACAGACAAAGATTTTGAAAATTGTATGTTTTATATTCCGTATATACTTTCATATTAATTATTTGTATAGATTATCGGTTGTTAAGATCAACTAAAACTTCTCTAATATTGTCCGTTTTTTTAGCTGAGGTGATTTTAAGCACAAACCAGCAGTTCCATCAGTAACAATATAGACATTCTAAAAGTAAATAAATGTTTGGACATGTTTGTATATCAAAATGTTGTATTCTAAATACAAAACAATTTATAATAATCATGTTACTACAGGAGAAAGCTATATATAAATTTTTCATATAAATAATGTTTTAATTTTATGATAGAAACATTCCCGTTCTATTAACAGTTGACTTAAGTTAACTTTCAACAAATTCTCATCAAAACATATTACTTTGGTTTGCACGTCAGAAACTAGATATAGATCAGACTTGTGAAATACTGCTGTGTGTAAGTCATTGGCGTATATAGGTGACCAGATGGCCGGAACAACCCAAAATTACGATTATTAAAAAGTAGGGTCCTTTTATTATTAATAATTAATAGATAATAAATAATTTTGTGCATTGTATTATACACGTTTCACGAAAAATTTAAAAAACATCCTTCGTATTTATCGGCCATCGAATTTAAGTACCAGGCCGCCACCGAAAAGGTAAATATGCCTAGATACGTCGATATTAGAAGTCGTACTATTTGTAGTGCAATGGTAATGGTGATCGTATCGTAAAAAAAATACATTTTTGCATCTGATATGAGGTGACGTCTAAAAATCTTGTTGCTACAATTAGCAAAAATTACTAATTCCCCCACAGTGAATTCAAATCTGCCAATGTAATCGATTGTCGAAAATGTACGGATTTGTCATTGGTGTTAGCAAAAAACACCATAAAGTTAATCCTAACACAAAGTTACTCATTATGGCCAGTCGCTGCAAAGAAGGGTAAAAACGAATCTCTCCGAAATTAGGAAACCCCATGTGGTTGCAGAACATGTGTGCAGCTAGAGGAGCCACGAAGTGACCTGAGAAACAAAAATAATACTTTAAACATTGATAATGATACAGCAGACTACACTTGTTATTATAGTTGTCCACAAATATAATGAAAAATATTGTGAACTAAGTTTTCGTTTTACTTGATTACTTTAATGTTTTATTCATTTTTCAAAAAAAACTCCACTTTTGAACATAAGCCCCACATAAATTGCCTCATAGAGAATCCTCCCATCTTTTACCATAGTTTGCCAGATTTCTTCATTTGCCGTAGCTGCCACGCTTGGTAAGCGAGGTGGCAATCTCAGTTTTTTTATTACTTTGAATAAGGAAAATGCAGCTGCTTATCACCTGTTACATTTTACCTCTGTCACCACTACGATACCCAAAGGATGATATGGCGTTTTAATCATAATATTACTTTAACATTATAATAAAAAAACTGCACGATTGCAGCGCAAGGTTTAGTTCATCACCCCGTTAAATATCCGTCGTAAAAGTGAACAAATGAAAATGGAAAAAAATCAAGTGACGTCCAACAAATATATCTTGAATGCTGTTAAGAAAGAATGTCTTACTGTTACAGTAGACATCTCCAAAATGAAAATAAAGAAATCTGTACATATAAAAAACCCGTGTCTTTTTACTTTCCATGACATTTCTTTAGAAGATTTGTTCCTTGTTATAAAATCTACCTTGCTACTTTGCTATAAATCTTGATAAAATCTAGAACGGGTTATGAGCTTATGTATTTTTCTAGTATTAAATTTAGAATCTAATTTTTATAGCTCTGAAAAATCGTTGGTGATGACAGATTCCACAAGGTAATAAGGTGCAAGGAAGAATTTTTTTCGAAAATCGCACGGCGGAAGACCACCAGGCATTCAGATGTTGTGGACGATATCGAGAATTTCAGCAACAAGGGAAGTGCCCTGAAAATGAGGAAATATGACAAGAGTTATTTTTGCTATAAACGCGCAATCTTGTGTCTTCTGTGATCAGGGGCGTAGCTACCGCCGTATCAGCCGTATCAATGATACGGGGCCCCCGGGCTACAGGGGCCCCAAACGTGTGTGAGCAAAAATTCCAAGGACTTCTATGGGACAGGAAAGGCTATTACTATTGTCTATAGACGTAAAGAATTTAGTAAAACTGAAATCGTCTTCAGCTATGAATGCAGCCGAACCTTCTTCAGCTGTGTTCGCCGAACAAGAGGCACGAAAAGTGTATATTTGATTTGAATTGTTTGGCTAGCTTAGTTCCTAGGAGTATTAATTGTAAGTAATAACTCAAAAACCCGTGTAGTGGCACGGGTGGCAGTGGAGAACACTCACTACCCCATATCTTCCCGTGGGTGTCGTAAAAGGTGACAGAGGGAAACTGAGGCAGAGGATGGGTAGCAGCATCTTTCTGATAACAGCAAAACAACAATAAAAAAACTGCGGTTGCCAACCCGCTCGCCAAGCGTGGCAACTATGGCAATATACTCCCCATGAAAGTAACGAAGAGATGGCCCCCAGTCCCCGGCGGCCCCGCTATTCCTGGCTACGGTGGCGACTATGGTAACGGCGGGGCTAAGAATCTCCGGTGGAGGTTCTGTTGCTACCTACGACGACTCGACCTGGCAACTTATAACGCACGCACCCTGAGGACTGACGAGAAGATCATGGAGCTGGAGGAAGAGATAGACAAGTTGCGCTGGAATATCATAGGATTATCCGAAGTCCGAAGAGAGGGGGAGGACACGGTAATCCTCGAATCCGGCAATTAGTTCTATCACCGGGAGGGCGACCATCTGTCCCAAGGAGGTGTCGGATTTACCGTCCACAAGTCTCTGGTTAACAACGTTTTAAAGATTGGGAGTGTGACGACGAGGGTTGCGTACCTTATACTCAGAATCACCAAACGGTATTCGCTGAAGGTCATACAGGTTTACGCACCAACCTCGGAACACCCCGATGAGGAGGTGGAGGACATGTATGAGGATATCTCTAGAGCCATGCATTCCTCCAAAACCTACTATACGGTGTTAATGGGAAACTTCAACGCAAAACTAGGCACAAGAGAGAACGGTGAGCTGAAAGTAGGGAAATTTGGAATAGGGCAACGGAACCCAAGGGGCCAGCAGCTGGCCGACTTCATGGTGAAAGAGGGACTCTTTATGATGAACTCTTTCGTCCAGAAGCAGCCCCACAGGAAGTGGACCTGGTCGAGCCCCGACGGTTCGACAAAAACTGAGATTGACTTCATTATGACGACCAGACGACAACTGTTCAGTGATGTCTCAGTGATCGCGAGGGTGAAAACCGGTAGCGATCACCGAATGGTGAGAGGCACACTGAACCTAACCGTTGAGTTGGAGAGGTCACGTCTAATGAAGTCAACGAGCCGTCCCCCTCGTGCTCTAAACCAAAGTCTCGAAACCTTTCAGTTCGAGCTACGAAATAGTTTTCAGTGCCTAGAAGATTGCAATGCAGTGGACGATATGAATGACAAGCTCGTGAAAACTGTCCATGCGGTCGGAGCTAATTTTTGCAAGACCCGCCGCAGAAGAACACAAAAAGTCTCCGATTACACTCTTGATCTCATGGCTGTTAGACGGGATATGAAGCTGCAGTCTCAGTCAGTCAGTAGATTTGACAACATACAGGCAACTGAACAGACAGATAATTAATAGAATCAGGCGTTACTTTGCGGAGATCCATTATATAAAAACTTTTAGCAAAATTTACTTCGAAAATATCCGCGTTATAAAATAAAATGATGTGTCTTACCTAGTATGAAGAGCACCCCCGCCCTCCCTCAATTGCGTGCACTATCCCCGTCACCACTAATCCCAGCACCGCTACTCCCAAGACCACTACACTAGGCAAGACACACCACTGACGATAATACGACACGTGTTTCGCCTCTACACGAGGCATCCTCAGGTGATATAGACTCTACGGTGGCTAACTGCTAAGTGAGCAGCGAGCTAAAACAAGTGCCTTTTATACAGAAGTCTGTATCATTTGTTTGTGTTGTGTTGTTTTTTTTTTTTCGCAAGTGAGGGAGGGCGGGAGGTGCTCTTCATACTAGGTAAGACACATCATTTTATTTTATAACGCGGATATTTGCGAAGTAAATTTTCCTAAAAGTTTTTATGAACAGACAGATCTCCAAATCCATGCGGTGGGACTTACGCAACTTTAATACTGCTCGTATTAAAGAACCAGGACTCAAAAGTCTTTGCTAGAGATCTGTCTGCCAGAAAGAGCCAACTGTCGAAGCTGAAGACCGAGTGTGGCAGCGTCGTTTCCGGGACACCTGAGATTTTGAGTGAGATTGAGAGGTTCTATGGGTAGCTGTACATATCATCCTTGGAGCTACACGTAAGTGCGAGTAACGATCCAAGAGCGAGTTTTATCCGACACTATTCCGATGATATACCGGACGTCAGTCTGAGCGAGATTAGAATGGCTTTCCAGCACCTTAAAAACGGCAAGGCCCCAGGCGAGGATGGAATTACAGCGGAGCTTCTGAAAGCAGGTGGAAAACCGGTACTTGAAGTCCTCCATGGTGGCATTACACCGGAGGCGTGAAGCAGAAGTGCGGTGGACTTGTTCTTCAAGAAAGGTGACAACGCTCTCTTGAAGAACTACAGACCGATTTCCTTTCTGAGCCGCGTCTATGTGCTGTTTTCGAGAGTCATTACGAATCGTCTCGCGCGCAGACTTGACGACTTCCAGCCTCCCGAACAAGCCGGTTTCCGAAAAGGCTTTAGCACCATAGACCACATAAACACCCTTTGGCAAATTGTACAGAAATCCGAGGAGTACAATTTGCCACTATGTCTGGCGTATGTGGACTATGAGAAAGTCTTTGATTACGTCGAAATTTGGGCGGTGCTGCAGTCCCTTCAGCGATGCCAGGTTGACTGTCGGTATATCGAAGTGCTGAAGTGCTTGTACAGTAGGGCTACGATAGTTATCCGAGTACAGAACCAGAGTACGAAACCTATCCAATTATGCGACATTATATCCCCGTAACTCTTCACCGCTGCATTGGAAGACGTTTTCAAGCTTCTGGACTGGAAAGTATACGGTATTAACATCAATGACGAGTACATCACTCACCTTCGATTTGCCGACGATATAGTCCTTATGGCAGAATCGCTGGAGGAGAAGCACTATGCTTAATGACCTCAATAGATTTTCCCAACGGGTAGGTCTTAAGATGAACATGGACAAAACAAAGATCATGTTTAATGTCCATGTCACACCTATGCCGGTATTTGTTGGGAGCACTAAGCTCGAAGTTGTTGACGAGTATGTTTACCTGGGACAAATAGTCCGACTAGGTAAGTCCAACTTCGACTGAGAGGTCAATCGACAGATTCAACTCGGCTGAGCAGCGTTCGGGAAATTACGGCACATCTTCTCGTCAGGTATACCTCAAAACTTGAAAACGAGACTGTACAACCAGTCCAACTCCACTGCTGGCCGGATGAGGAAGCTCAAGGTCGCTCAGCGAGCTATGGAGAGGGCTATGCTTAGGGTTTCTCTGCGTGATAAACTTAGAAATGAAGATATCTGCAGTAGAACCAAAGTGATCGACATAGCCCAACGGATTAGTAAGCTGAAGTGGCAATGGGCCGGCCATATAGCTCGAAGAACCGACAACCGATGGGGAAAAAAGGTACTCGAGTGGCGGCCTCGTACCGGCGGACGAAGTGTAGAGCGTCCCCCCACTATATGGAGTGACGACCTGGTAAGATATGCAGGAAGTCGATGGATGCAGGTGGCTCAGGACCGTGCTTTGTGGCATTCCTTGGGGGAGGCCTATGTTCAGCAGTGGACTTGTGAAGGACTGTAATGATGATGATGAATAACTTAAAATCAATATATAATAATTTGAATTCAATGCAAGCGTTTTTGTTCCTTTTATGAAATCTTTACTCTTCATTGGGGCCCCCCAACAAATTTTGATACAGGGCCCATCTAAGGCACGCTACGCCACTGTCTGTGATTAAACTGAACAAAGACTCTACTTCGGACGAGTTTGTTCCGGTTCTCGACGACGGGTTCCCCAGAAATAATGGCACGGTCGACGAATAAGCTTCACAAGCGCTTTCATCTGCATAGCAACTAATGTTACTAGTTTGCGACATTAGGCAGTAGAAACAGGGTAGGTGATAACACCTGAGTCCGAGCAAGCACCGGCAACTACGACCTCATGTTCTCCGATCTGTGAGATGCCTGGTAGCCCAGTTGCATAACTCCTAATATAATAATAATATCTTTCCACTAGGAGTACCACAAAGATTGTCCTAAGCCACCTGTATCCATTGACTTCCTGGATGTATTACCAAATTGCCACCAATCTAATGGGGGTAAATGCCGTGTAGTGGCGGTCAAGAATATCCACTACCCCATATCCTCCCGTGGGTGTCGTAAAAGGCGACAAAGGGAAACAGGCAGGAGATGGGCAGCAGCATCTTCCTGATAATAGCCAAATTACAATAAAAAACTGCGGTTGCCAACCCGCTCGCCAAGCGTGGCAACTATGGCAAATACCCCCCTATGAATGACAGTAACAAAAAAACGGCCCCCAGTCCCCGGCGGCCCCGCTATTCCTGGCTACGGTGGCGACCATGGTAACGGCGGGGCAGGGGGTGCTAAGAATCTCCGGTGGAGGTTCGGTTGCCACCTTAGACGACTCGACCTGGCAACGTACAACGCACGCACCCTGAGGACTGACGAGAAGATCGTGGAGCTGGAAGAAGAGATAGACAAGTTGCGCTGGCATATTATAGGATTATCCGAAGTCCGAAGAGAGGGGGAGGACACGGTAATCCTCGAATCCGGCAACTTGCTCTATCACCGGGAGGGCGACCATCTGTCCCAAGGAGGTGTCGGATTTATCGTCCACAAGTCTCTCGTTAACAACGTTGTAAAGATCGGGAGTGTGTCGACGAGGGTTGCGTACCTTATACTCAGAATCACCAAACGGTATTCGCTGAAGGTCATACAGGTTTACGCACCAACCTCGGCACACCCCGATGAGGAGGTCGAGGAAATGTATGAGGATATCTCTAGAGCCATGCATTCCTCCAAAACCCAATATACGGTGTTAATGGGAGACTTCAATGCAAAACTAGGCACAAGAGAGAACGGTGAGCTGAAAGTAGGGAAATTTGGAATAGGGCAACGGAACCCAAGGGGCCAGCAGCTGGCCGACTTCATGGAGAAAGAGGGACTCTTTATGATGAACTCTTTCTTCCAGAAGCGGCCCCACAGGAAGTGGACCTGGTCGAGCCCCGACGGTTCCACAAAAAATGAGATTGACTTCATTATGACGACCAGACGACAACTGTTCAGTGATGTCTCCGTGATCGCGAGGGTGAAAACTGGTAGCGATCACCGAATGGTTAGAGGCACACTGAACCTAAACGTTAAGTTGGAGAGGTCTCGTCTAATGAAGTCAACGCTCCGTCCCCCTCGTGCTCTGTTCCAAAGTCCCGAAACCTTTCAGCTCGAATTACAAAACCGTTTTCAGTGCCTGGAAGACTGCAATGAAGTGGACGATATGAATGACAAGCTCGTGGAAACTGTCCATGCGGTCGGAGCTAAGTTCTGCAAGACCCGCCGCAGAAGAACACAAAAACTCTCCGATCACACTCTTAATCTCATGGCTGTTAGACGGGAGATGAAGCTACATTCTTCAACAGACTTGACAGCATACAGGCATCTGAACAGACGGATCTCCAAGTGCATGCGGCGGGACTTACGCAACTTCAATACAGCTCGTATTGAAGAAGCGATCGAGCGGAACCAAGGCTCCAAAGTCTTTGCCAGAGATCTGTCTGCCAGAAAGAGCCAACTGTCAAAGCTGAAGACAGAATGTGGCAGCATCGTTTCCGGGACACCTGAGATTTTGAGTGAGATTGAGAGGTTCTATGGGCAGCTGTACACATCATCGTTGGAGCCACACGCAAGTGTGAGTAACGATCCAAGAGCGAGTCTCATCCGACACTATTCCGAAGATATCCCGGATGTCAGTCTGAGCGAGATTAGGATGGCTCTCCAGAACCTTAAAAACGGTAAGGCCCCAGGCGAGGATGGAATTACAGCGGAGCTTCTGAAAGCGGGTGGAAGACCGGTACTTGAAGTCCTTCAGAAGCTCTTTAATTCCGTCCTCCATGGTGGCATTACACCGGAGGCGTGGAGCAGAAGTGCGGTGGTCTTGTTCTTCAAGAAAGGTGACAACGCTCTCTTGAAGAACTACAGACCGATTTCCCTTCTGAGCCGCGTCTACGTGCTGTTTTCGAGAGTCATTACGAATCGTCTCGCGCGCAGACTTGACGACTTCCAGCCTCCCGAACAAGCCGGCTTCCGAAAGGGCTTTAGCACCATAGACCACATACATACCCTTCGGCAAGTTGTACAGAAGTCCGAAGAGTACAATTTGCCACTATGTCTGGCGTATGTGGACTATGAGAAAGCCTTTGATTCCGTCGAAATTTGGGCGGTGCTGCAGTCCCTTCAGCGGTGCCAAGTTGACTGTCGGTATATCGAAGTGTTGAAGTGCTTGTACAGTAGGGCTACGATGGCTATCCGAGTACAGAACCAGAGTACGAAACCTATCCAATTGCAGAGAGGTGTAAGACAGGGTGACGTCATATCCCCGAAACTCTTCACCGCTGCATTGGAAAACGTTTTCAAGCTTCTGGACTGGAAAGGATACGGTATCAACATCAATGGCGAGTACATCACTCACCTTCGATTTGCCGACGATATAGTCCTTATGGCAGAATCGCTGGAGGACCTAAGCACTATGCTCAATGACTTCAATAGTGTTTCCCAACGGATAGGTCTTAAGATGAACATGGACAAAACAAAGATCATGTTTAATGTCCATGTCACACCTATGCCGGTAGTTGTTGGGAGCACTAAGCTCGAAGTTGTTGACGAGTATGTTTACCTGGGACAAATAGTCCGACTAGGTAAGTCCAACTTCGACCGAGAGGTCAATCGACGGATTCAACTCGGCTGGGCAGCGTTCGGGAAGCTACGACACATCTTCTCGTCAGACATACCTCAAAACCTTAAAACGAAGTTGTACAACCAGTGCGTGTTGCCAGTGATGACTTACGGAACTGAGACGTGGTCCTTCACTGCTGGCCGTATGAGGAAGCTCAAGGTCGCTCAGCGAGCTATGGAGAGGGCTATGCTCGGAGTTTCTCTGCGTGATAAACTTAGGAATAAGGATATCCGCAGTAGAACCAGAGTGACCGACATAGCCCAACGGATTAGTAAGCTGAAGTGGCAGTGGGCCGGCCATATAGCTCGAAGAACCGACAACCGATGGGGAAGAAAGGTTCTCGAGTGGCAGCCTCGTACCGGTAGGCGAAGTGTAGGGCGTCCCCCCACGAGATGGAGTGACGACCTGGTAAGACATGCAGGAAGTCGATGGATGCAGGTGGCTCAGGACCGTGTTTTGTGGCATTCTTTGGGGGAGGCCTATGTTCAGCAGTGGACTTGTGAAGGGCTGTAATGATGATGATGATGATAATGGGGGGCGTTTTACACTCTGATTACCAGTATGGGGTGGCCACTCGAGAACCCTTTTCTCTAGATTGGTTGTCAGTTCTTCTTTCGTTTATATGGCAGGCCTACTGCCCCTTTTGTCTTTGATAATAGATACGAAATTTTCATATGGTTTCGAAAATCATGTATCAATAATACAGAGGTATTAATATACCTTATTATATTATCATTACAAAACTCATTGCGACGATATTTCATATCCGTTATTCATATAAAAATGTGGTTCCCTCTTCAATAAGTCGATATTCGACACTTTATTTAAAGTAGTTTCAGACATGAAGCATAAAAGTATCAATACCTACTCCATACTATTGTTCTAACCCCTAACTCAATGAAATAAACACAGGCAAGAATAAATATTATATAAGAGGCATCAAGTGTAAAAAATTGTAGGATAAATATGAATATCAACCAGTGAAGGTCGTGTGAACTTACCAGTTCGCAGAAATAAGTAAGCAGAGTAAGCACCAAAGAGACTTGTATATGCAAACTGGAAAGCTGAAAGTAAAATATTAAATTAAAGCAAGTCTATATATATTATATCTCATATGGTTTATAGGTCTCATATCATTTATGTGAGAGTAGTCACAAGAGTCCACCGCACGTTGCTCCACTGGAGCAACGCTTCAAATTATATTAATTTATCAATAATATAGTTTTCTTCTCGATATTTTCCTTCTGTCATTATAAATCTTAAAAAAAAACGATAAGTATGTTTTCTTTTTAAATGTTTTAGTGCGCATGGAAGTAGTAGAAATCGATCTAGAGCAGCATGGCTGTATGTAAAATTAAAGCATCACCCCTGAGCTAACATGGTTTTCGGAAAATCAGAGGGAGGCCCAAGAAAAGATGGTTAGACTGTGTGAGGGATGATATGCCTATATGAGATATAACAGCTAATGGAAGAGGAAGACCTGCTATACTGACACTAAAAAACTTGAGTTACGAGTAGGAAACAGCATAGGTGAAGAGATATGAGGTCGCCATGTTCATGAGAAAGCCTGCTTATGTGAGTATCCGATTTGCACTGGGGTAGCACGGCTGATTCGATCTTGCTCAATAAAAACCCTCTCAAAGGATATACGAGTTCTAAAGTGGCATGTAAGTAAGCTATTACTTTACCTTTAGCTACATAAAAATGTTTAAATAGGTCCACTCTTATAATACTTATCAAGTGACACACGAGCTTGCAACTCACCTGATCGTAAATGGCTACTGCAGTCCATGTACACCTGCAGCCAACTTCAAACAAAAAAAAACTCACAGATGTGTTATCACCTCAGAGGACTAAGACGTAATACCTCACAGCTTGTAAATATACTTTCTATATCTTTCATACCGGAACGTGTGCAGCAGTGCTTACACTTTTTGTTATTTGGCAGCAAATATAGGTAAGGGTTCTTCGAACTATGTGGCCGGCCCATTGACACTTCAGCTTACTAATCCGTTGTGCTATGTCATAAGACATGCAGGAAGTCGATGGATGCAGGTGGCTCAAGACCACGCTTTATGGCAATTCCTTGGGGGAAGCCTATGTTCAGCAGTGGACTTGTGAAGGGCTGTAATGATGACAGGTAAGGGGAGTGAGAGATGATGTTGTAATAGCACTATAAGCGGGCTCCCAATGATGCTACATCTTATCATACTTCTTCCATTTATTACTTGTAATGAAACAACTTGGTTAAAAAGGCCTTCTGTGGCCTAAAATTTACTTACTTGAAATTATTAATGCAGTCTTAAGATCAAATCCCGCTTTCATTTGTTCAAAAATGTGATGGAAGTGAGCTGTAATCAATTAAAAAAATATTGTTTACCTACTATAAATTAAAATGTAAAGAGTATTTTTTGTTTCTTTTTACAACACTATACTAATTATGTAGTGTAAAAACTCAGTGCCAGGCATGCATGATAAACAAAGTTATGTTAGTTTTCCAGAGTGGTGCCCACTCAAAATAAACAATTTCCACTTACTCTATTCTAACATCAAATTTAAATATTCGAAACTTATTAGCATAGTTTCGAATATTTAAATTTGTTTCTCAATGATGATGATGATTATGAGTTCTACGTGCCAATTTTAACCAAGGTAGATTTTACTGAATGTTAAAATATAATATTAGGTTTGCAATGAAATTAACTCACCAATTCCAAACAGCAGAGGACCAACAAATACAGCAGTAAATGGTTCAAGGCATTGCAATAGCAAAGGCATCATACAAGCTCGAAATACCCACTCCTCACTAAGAGGTGCCATAAAATGATTCCGCACCCATGTCAGGTCTTGCCAACTTGACACCCAATACATAGGTTCTAGAATATGATGATATAAGAGGAATATACAGATAGTAGTGCTACTATTTTCAAATACATAATATATTATTTACTTTACTAAGAAAAAAAATTCAAACTTTTATATAGATATTATGTGTCAGGACCCAAGATGTCATTTTAGGTATAATAAAAGAAAATAAAACTGTGTGGCTTAGGTCAACGAGCTAGGTATATGACTGGGTTCCAAAAAAATCCATCCATTTATTTGTTGCAGCCTTTAGAAGTCTACTGCTGAACGTACTCATCAACCCATAGATTGCCTCATAGCGGCGATTTTGCCATAGTTGCCATACTTGACAGGCTGGTTGACAAACACTGTTTTTTTTGAGTTGTTATAAGGAAGATGCTGCAACCCATTTCCTGTTTCAGTTTCTCACTCGCCTCTTACAACATCCACTAGATGATATATGGTAGTAGATATTCTTACACCACCACTACACATAACTTGAAATAAATGATATTTTTAGAAAGTATTTCTAAGAGAATGTTCTGAAATCAATCAATCAGCAGTGGCAAATAATAAAATAATATTTTAATTATAGTAAAGCCATAATAATCATAATAAAGTTAAATTAATGCTTTCATGAGGTGCAAATAATGTTTTACAGGAATATAATACTACCCACAAAGAAATTAAAAAAATATATACGCGCCATAGTAGCTTAGGCTCTAGCACTGTAAATAACACAGTATGCAAGCAAGTTTGATCCCTGTTGCGAACAATAAAACAATGAAACGGTCAATTGCAATTTTTAGTGCTGATTTACTATGTGCTTGGCGGTAAAGCAAAATATTGTGAGGAAACCTAAAAAATATTTATATATCTATACTAATATAATATAATATATAATAAAGCGGAACAGTTTTTTTGTTTGTTTAAACGCGCTAATCTCTGGAACTACAAGTCCGATTTGAAAAATTCTTTTTGTATATTATAGCCAGATTCATGTGGAATAGTATACGCTATATAGCATTAAGATATATTACTCAGCTAGCCTTAAATATGGATATTTGTTAAGCAAGTCAGAAGAAAAAGCACTCCCAAAATGATTTATCCGCGTACGCTGGTGTTATCGTTAGGGATACGTAAATACAATGTTCTAGAAAAATATAGAGCTTTACTCCATCTAAAAAAAAGTCCGCGATACCATATGTCTATTTCTTATACATAAGACAAAAATTTTTTGTGATTTATCATGCAATCAGTCGATGGACTATGAGCAGATTGGTTGTAGGACAGATTGGCGTGCAGAGAAAACTTCCCCAGCGGGAAGCACTCCATAAGTCTCAGTTATACATTGTCAAGTATATGCCTTCTCTTTAGGCGACGAATCGCTTGTGGCATTGTCAACTGCCATGCTAATTGATTTGGATGGTTGCCAAGTCTTGTTTTGTAGTTGCAGCTGTAGCGCCTAATTTCTTCCTTAACTGAGTTCATTTTAAGGTGTTCATAGATTTCAGATGTACTTATGAACCGTGGTGCGTTTGAAAGTTGTTTAAGTATGTAGTTTTGGGTTCTTTGAATGATTTCGATGTTGGAATCACATGCTGATCCCCAAAGTTGTATGCCGTATGTCCATATCGGTTTTATAATGATGTTATATAGCAGGAGCTTATTGTCTATAAGGAAAGTCTGGAATTCCTTGCGAGCATCCAATACAGTCCTCTGTATCTATGGTAGATCTCATCCTTTTTGGTTTGGATGAGCTTCTTCCAAGTGAGCCTTCTATCCAAGTACTTAACGCTGTCACTTGGCGGAAGCGAATTGTTACGCAAATGAGACAGGCGGATTGATTTTGTGGCACTAGCCTTTATTTTCCACTTTGATAGCCATTTGTCAATCTCATCTAGACTATGTTGTAGGATTGCTGAAGCATCGTCTGGACTTCTACTGCAAGCAAGAACAGCAGTATCATCCGCAAAGGTAGCCACAGTTACGTTGTCAATTTGTGTAGGTCATTTGTGTAAATTGTGTAGAGCACAGGACCAAGCACTGAGCCTTGTGGTACACCAGCCTTAATTGGATGGAACGAGGAAGTATGTTCACCTTCCTTGACTTGAAAGATTCTATCAGTCAGGTAAGATTTCAGTAATCCGAAGAACGTATGACGAACGATTTAATTTTAAATAGTAGCCCTGTATGCCAAACCTTATCAAAAACCTGCTGCACATCCAGGAATGCAGAGGAGCAGTATTCTTTATGTTCTAGTGCATCTGATTGTTCTGCAAACCCTATGTACCTGTTCAACCGTACCATGATCCTGTCGGAATCCAAATTGGTGGTCTGGAATGATACTTCTTTTACGGAGTTCTTTCATAAGGCTTTGCAACAATACTTTTTCACAAACTTTTGATGCTACTGGTAACAAACTGATTGGTCGGTATGAGGTTATTTCATGAACAGGTTTACCAGGCTTCCCTATCATTATAATTTGTGAAACTTTCCACAGTGCTGGGAAGTAGCCAACGCGAATGATTCCATTAAACAAAATGGTGAGGAACACAATACCTTTTTTGGGTAATTCCGAAAGTACTTTTTTGTCAATTAGGTCAAAACCAGGCGCCTTCTTGGCATCCATACGATTTATTATATTAATAATCTCTCTGGCGTTAGTTGCTGCAATGGGTAGATCCAATTGAAAAGTTTGGCCAAGGACATCTTCAATATCTGTTTCATCACTGTTAGGATCAGTTTCGTTTGGCGTGAATATTTGGGCCAAGTGATCTCCAAAAACATCGGCTTTTTGTTGTTGGCTTCTAGCCCATAAGTTGCCCTCCAGTCTGAGTGGCGGCTTGGGGTTAGTGGGCTGATTGAGATGTTTACAAGCGCGATAAAGGGAATAATTAGTAGCACTTGTGGCTGTCAATGATTCCAGGAAGGATTCCGTTGAAGTATTATTTGCTTTGATCATGATGTCTTTAAGGTCTTTAATTGCCTTATTAAGCGCTGTTTTGTCTTCTGGATGTCTACTATTGTGCCATACGCTACGTAGCCATCTTTTTCAATAATTTGGATTTTGACATCGGATGGAACTGCATTGCGTCTCGGTGAAGAGTTGGAGATTTCAGGAGTACATTTCCAACAAGCTGACTGCACTGTAGTCATAAACTTAGTAGTAGCATTGTCAATGTCTTCCTTGGATTTTAGTGCCATTTGTAGTTGAAGCTCATCATTGACTATACTACGAAATGCTTCCCAGTCCGTTCTCTTATTGTAGAGTTGTAGTTGTTTCATATTAGTTATTATATTGGCGCCCATGGTAAGAAACACTGGGATATGATTAGAAGAATCATCTAATGTTGAACTGATTGTGAATAAGAGTCGCGACATGTCTTTAGAAACAAAGAAGTCTAGGACATCAGGCAGTCTATTTGGGTCTGTAGGCCAATGTGTAGGTTCTGGTGTTGCAATAGTTGTGAGATAGTTCTTATCCAAACTCTTCTTCAGCTCTCTTCCCCGAGTTTTAAGAGCTATTTTGAAGGCTTGGAGATTAGCGTTGTAATTAGTTGGAGTAATGTACTTATTTGTTGAAGGAGAAAATCAATTTTTTCAGATTGTTTGATAAACATGTATCCTAATGTTTTAAATGAAGTTGTCTGCATATCTGGCTCTTGTGGATTGGGCTTTGAATAGGTAGTTTCAGCGTATGTTTTTTTTCCTTTGTATTTTTGTTAGATGGTGGTCTGTCCTGAACTGAATTCATGTTAATTGGATGAGTTTTTATATTGTCACTGTTTTTGTGTGCATGGTTGTCTCTCTTTTGTCTTGGATACTGGTTTTTGGTTTTCCTGGTGAAGATTTCCTTGTACACCTCACACCCTTTGTAGTTAGCTGGATGAGGACCCAGGCATAGAGCACATGTGGCTGGTGTATTGCGATCGGTCTTTGTACATGCTGAGGTTTTGTGAGCTCCTGCACATTTAACACAACGAAATGGTTTCTTGCAATAGTTTTTTGTGTGTCCATATTGTTGACACCTTTGACACTGTACTACTGTTTTTCGTTTTCTTGGATCTTCTATAATGATACTGGTTTTTGGTTTTCCTGGTGAGGATTTCCTTGTACACCTCACACCCTTTGTAGTTAGCTGGATGAGGACCCAGGCATAGTGCACATGTGGCTGGTGTATTGCGATCGGTCTTTGTACATGCTGAGGTTTTGTGAGCTCCTGCACATTTAACACAACGAAATGGTTTCTTGCAATAGTTTTTTGTGTGTCCATATTGTTGACACCTTTGACACTGTGCTACTGTTTTTCGTTTTCTTGGATCTTCTGTAATGACGGTTTGGTGTTATATAGCGTTTATGTTTTTCACTGCCTTATTATTCGGGCCTGGTAGAAGATTTGCGAAGAAGGTGGTTGTGAGTTTCTTATCAGGACCAAACTTAGCATTTATTATTTCACCTGTCACAGTATTACCAGTTTCCTCGATGGCTGCTTTAATAATAAATAGTATGGTGTAGGTTTCTAATAACTATTCGGTAATTTCTGTTATTTATCCGATTAAAGGTGTGTCCAATCAAACCGTTTTCACGAATTACAGATATTATCATTTTATATATATCAACATCGTAGGTCAAAATTTTCAATTGATTTCTGTTGATAATTTTGTAAGTGAAATGAGATTTCTCTGTAACTGATTCCAGGAGTTCTGTCAGTTTGTTCAGATCTTCAACACCATAGAGAATAATCGGTGGAGGTTTGCTGGGCTTCTTAGCTCCGTTGCTTGTTCTTCAGTTAAGTCAACTGTTAGTCCATCAAAGCTAGCCTCAAGGCTTGTGGTAGCCTAGGACAGGTTATTTAACCGTCGCCTGTTGCTCGGCGTTGGCAACTCTTTTGGCACCACCCAGGGGACACGTGTAGGGTGGGTCTTATAGGAACAAGATGGTACAAATCCTACGGACGCGAGCGACTTCATCCCCCGTGACAAAAAATTATTGAAAATTTAAAAGTGATTTATGAGCGTTATTATTAGGCATGGCCTATTTATCCTTACGAACGAAAGTTAACTTCATCATCAAGACAATTTTATGAAGATAAACTTTGTTCTTTATACCATATTTGGACGCATAGCTTAAGAGATAATGTAAAATTAAAATAATACAATACTTGGCTGGGCGCGCGTACGACGCTTAAACCCTAGCCGTTATAAAATGCTTGAAATAGGTCATGTCGCGCACCTCGGACACGTGATGACGCGGGTGAAATTGCGGGCCACAGCTAGTAAAAATATATAAGACGTGAAGTGTACCGACAAGCATTGGGGCTCTATGGTAGACACTTTCTTGCCCTTAAACTCTCTCAGAAATGAGAACTGGCCTTTGCTCTGTAGTAGGACTTATAAAGACTATAACTTTACTAGAAAGATATTAAAAATATAAAAAAATAAAATTATGGCTATAGATGAATGGGTTGACTTGATTGGGTAAGAACCAAGCTCTCACAGAATACCAGCATAAGATATAATTTAATGATTATATCTTATTATCGTTTTGTTTTATATGGTATGTGTAGAGAACCAGAAACCCTTTTACTGATAACAAGGTATTCTATCTTCGTCCGGTAGCAAAGCCACCATAGAAGCCAAGAATACATAATCACAGAAACAATAATATCAAGTAATAAAATAACTTGTAAACTGTTTCAAACTATTTAAAATTTCCCACACGCTCCTCTGTTCTACACAGGTCAAAACTGCACAATACTGTTGTCATTAAAAAGGAGTTGCATTAAGAAGATTGAGTATTTTTATAAAACTGCTAAAAAGTACAAAACCATATCTTGAACTTGCCCTAGTTTGGAGCCCTAGCTTCGCCACTGTCTTTGTCCTAAGTGATAACAATGAATCTTCCTTTTTGATTCTTAATCGAATTTAGATGCAGGTGCAAATACTTACCATTAAGTGGATAAACAAGCACACAGGTGCTTGTTGTCATCCTTATTCTATAAAATTGGATTACTTTAATTGAAATAATATTAATAGTTTTTCATAATATTGATGAGCCTAGTGGTCAGAGACCTAAATGTGCCAGTGTCACTCTCCAAGATGTTTGGCAACATTAAAGATTTGTTAGTATTCCTCGAGCAGATAAAATGATTCAAATAGCATTCATTCTTACCTACACACCAAATATGCACTTAGTCTCAGAGCTGAAGAAACCAACTTGTGTAACACTAATACTAACATAATCTAAGGCAAATGTCATTAGTGTAAAATCAGCCAAGAGGACAATGTTATCATGCCAAGCTTTTTTCATCTACAGTATTTCTTCTAAAGGTGACAGAGTATAATGTTGTTACAGGTTTATTGTATTTTTAATGACTTGTTATTCATAAAATAACATATTTGAAATTATGTGAATATAGCAGATATATTGTATAGTACCTATATAAATCTTCCAAGTTCCTGACAAAAATTGCATTGTCAATGGACCCAAAAAAAGGACTGCTGTCAAAAGGAGTGATGTAACAGATGCAGCTATAAGTCCTGGTAATCGAAGTCCCAATTGCTGATACACATCACCTTTGTTCAATGTTTCCTCTTTGAGAAAGAACAGCATAAAGAAAGGTGCTAAGAACATTATACAGGCTACACTGAAGAATCTTCTTTTGATTGTAGATGGATGGTCCCTGCAAAACAATGAAGCCACATCTGTGCTCAATACACCTCAAATAATACAATAATAGCATTGCATTTAGAAAAAAAATTATTACCTGCTTAACTGTGTCCTCCAAACATATAAACTTGCAACATATGCGAAAGTTAAAAATACACAAGCGAAAATAGAGGAAGCACAAGCATTATAATCAAGTATCAATTTTGACAATGCAGAAAAGCAGGTATAAAAACGGTACGCAACAAAACCTGTGTCTTCCATAATGTTATTTTATATTTAAAAATATTTGGGCTTGAAGACATCAATATTGAATATTGATCTTTTTTTGACAAGATTGTTGTAGTTTTTATTATTCGCTCGAGAGAGCAGGCAAAGGAACTAAGCCATACAGCCTTGTCTTTTTTATTTTGAATATATAGAATTTTAAAGTGTAAAGGCCGGAACTAAGTCTTATTTTCTTTAATTCTTCATATTTTCAAAAACCGTAAAGGCTAAAGCCAAGTCTTCTTTATATTATAATCTTTGTAAGTTTCAATTCATGTAGATCTGTCAATCCAATATTTTCAAAAACAGGGATACCATATTTCATATTTCTTTTACAGTATTATGAATAAAATTGTAAAGTGCTAAATATGTCTTAGTATTCCTAAGAACATCTTGCAGGGCACGAGGGACGCCTTCTGAGTTTTCATAAACTTGTATAAGTTTTTCAATAAGTAGCAATCTTTCTATGGCGTACGCTGGGCAGTTAAATAATATATGTTCTGCAGTCTGATCTGCTTCTGTATTGCAGAAGTTGCATGTTGCAGATGCTACTATTCTCATCCTGGAAAGATGAGCGTTCAGTCGATAGTGGCCAAATCTAAGTCTGCACATTATTGTATAAAATTTTCTACTATGATATCTCTCGTTGCGAGAAAACCAAGGAACAATTAATTCTAAATTAATCGATGCATACCAAAGACCTTTTCCTGCTTCTAAAACAGCATTCCATTGCATTTTCCATTCTTCTTTTAACTGTTGCCTTAGAATTGAATATAAATCAGTATGTGGTATTGCAACATCGGTTATCCTGTCAATATCAGCTGTAACTATATTTTTAGCTAAATGGTCTGCGCTTTCATTTCCTTGAACAACAATAAGTGACGGAGTCCATAAAAGTTTTACTACCAAATTATTTTCTTTAAATTTCCACCACAAACTTTTGATTTCATATATGATGAAAGACGATTTAGCATCTAAAGTTCTTGCCTTCAGTGCCTTCAAGACACTCATGCTATCAGAGATCAGTAACCATTCATTAGATACATGTGGGTGTTCTTCTATATATTTAAGAGCGATATAACATTCTGCAGTGTATATGCTTGCTGATGCAGGAATGGAAAGAACACGTCCAGTTTTCAGATGAGGTATGTAAAATGCACAGACTACTTTATTTTCAACTTTTGAACCATCTGTGTAAATTTGTCGATATTCATCATATGTAGATATAAGTTCATAAACCTCTTCTTTTCTTTTCAATTTTTCATCAATATTTATGTGTATATCACTGAATTTACTTTCATAATTCCCCTTATAACAAGGCCAAGTATGTGTGCTTTTGTGAATATTATGTTGTTCATCATATCGTATCACTTTATGAAAGTCATGGAATATATATATATATATATATATATATATATATATATATATATATATATATATATATATATATATATGGGGCTGAGTTAGATATAGGAGACATACTATTATAGTAAAATAATACTTTTTGAAAAAGAGGATGATGAGACAAAGAATTAATATTTAATAAAAACCTAAAGAACAGTGGCCAAATTTCTATAGGAGCTGGACTTGACTTTTATTTTTCATGTCCCAAAACAAACTATAGCTATATTGGTTTGTTTTTATATTGCAAACAACATCCTGTTTGAAAATCATATCTAAATGGCCACAATTTTTATAATAACGTCAACAATACTTTTGAGGTTAGCATCACATATGTAATCTTCTTCAGTAATCAAAAATAAGAATTATATTTTTATTATGATGTTCGATTGTGTATGGTAGTTTATGTTAGTGTAATAAAATAAGTAGGTATGTAAATATGTACTATTATTGAAATTCCACTCGCGGATCTTAGAAATTACTCTGGTATCTAGCTCAAAAACGAGATGGCGGCGAAGTGTATCAATGCATATGTTACAATTAACACATAACAATCGCAGGGCTAGTTGTCGTTGTTGTGTAGCTGTAGTCTGCATGATGTCTCTCACAAATATCCAAGATACAAAATTAGTGTCCAGAAATCAAAAGCATAGAATAATCGTTACAAGTTTATAGTTATCAGTCCGTAAAACAATGCCGAGGTCAAAACAACAGAAGGAAATCTAAAATAGCACGGTATGTATCACAACCCACAACAACGAGTAAAGCAAATAAGATGATGCGAATAATTGCCGACTGACAATGAATGGTGTTGATCGATGACCACAGATTATGTAATTTGTCGATGATAAATGATGTTCCGTTGTACGTAATTGAACAAACGCTTAGCTTAGTATGGAGCTACATAATTATTTTTATAACATGAATCCAGTACATAATAAATCAGTATAGTAGTTGATTTGATGCCTAAATACTAATTAAATTGAATTACAATTAACAACTGTTCAAAAAAACGTGAATAATTAGTCTTTGAATATAAAATCCTTTCATACGCGAAATGAATCGTCATTAGGTGCGTTCCAGTGCGTTCTGAAACCATTATTTTAAATAATTTCGGAACAGTTACAAAAACAAAAATAAAAGGATACCTTTATTTTGTGGCTACTTAGAGAGGTACTTTTAGAGTTTTTAAGACCTTAAAAAATAAGTTTATTTTTCATAAAAATGGCATATAGTGACGCCATCGTTTCTTCGCCTGGTACGATTTGACCAACCTTCTTTCAGATATTTAAACCTAAGTAAGATAGGAGGAGTAAGACGTTCAGCCTGTAAAGAAACAATAGGAGTTGTTCTCATAGAGCCGGTAATAAGTCTTAAAGTCTTATATTGTATAATATCTAATGGGCACCGTTCGGGAAATTACGGCACATCTTCTCGTCAGGTATACCTCAAAACTTGAAAACGAGACTGTACACTCAGTGCGTGTTGCCAGTGATGACATACGGAACTGAGACGTGGTCCTTCACTGCTGGCCGGATGAGGAAGCTCAAGGTCGCTCAGCGAGCTATGGAGAGGGCTATGCTCGGAGTTTCTCTGCGTGATAAACTCAGAAATGAGGATATCCGCAGTAGAACCAGAGTGACCGATATAGCCCAACGGATTAGTAAGCTGAAGTGGCAATGGGCCGGCCATATAGCTCGAAGAACCGACAACCGATGGGGAAGAAAGGTTCTCGAGTGGCAGCCTCGTACCGGCAGGCGAAGTGTAGGGCGTCCCCCCACTAGATGGAGTGACGACCTGGTAAGATATGCAGGAAGTCGATGGATCAGATGGTAGGTGGCTCAGGACCGTGCTTTGTGGCATTCTTTGGGGGAGGCCTATGTTCAGCAGTGGACTTGTGAAGGGCTGTAATGATGATGATGATGATGATAATATCTAATTTGTTTACTAGTTTTTTATTTGATGCAAAACAAAGGAAGCCATACTCAAAATGGCTCCTCACCAAAGACTTATATAACATTAATAATATTTGTGGATCAGCTCCCCAGTTAGTACTAGCCAAAGCTTTTAAAACATTAAAGGCCTTAGAAGCTCTGTCTGAAATAGAATTCACGTATTTGTTCCAAGAAAAATTATTTGTAAAAATTACACCTAAGAATTTTGCACAACTTTTATTCTATTCTATTGGTAAAAATGTATTATTATAAATTATTCTAGTGTTAAATGGACGAATTTTACTAAATATTACAACTTTACTTTTTTCAGTACTAATATCTAAACTTAAGTGTGAAAAGTAAATGTGCAATTTCTTAAAGCCTCATTTAAAATGGTTGCCAAGTTTTTGACATTTGTTCCTGAGGCATATATGACCAAATCATCTGCATATTGTAAATTAGTAACATTTGATCCTAAAATATTGTTTAATTTAAATATTTATAAAATAAAGACAAGAGGACTTAATATTTCTCCTTGACAATGACCTTTATAACTGAGCCTAGGACCAATAATTGTATTATTATTATTAACTTTAGCAAAAACTCTTCTTTCATGTAAAAAGTTAAATATCCATTTTACAATTTTTTCAGGAATGCCCAAAGACCTCAACTCTGCGGCGAGTACCTGAAGATTAACGTTATTAAATGCACCAACAATGTCAAAGAATATACCTACTAATTAATACTTCATTATTTTCCATAGCTTTAAAGATGTCTAAATGAAGAAATGCAATACTTTCTCTAGATGACTTACGGCGTCTAAATCCAAACTGATTTGATGGTAAAAGACAATTTTTTTCTAGATAAAATTCTAATCTAGATTTTATAAGTTGCTCAAATATTTTACCCATACAAGATGTGAGTGCTATAGGTCTGTAAGATTCTGCAATGTGAGGTTTTTTTCCAGGCTTTAAAATGGGTATCAAACAATCTTCTTTCCAATCGTTAGGAATAAGTGAATGAAACCATAACATATTATATATATTTCAAAACTAGTTCTCTACACGCAGTATTCATATTTTTTAAAGCTTTATATGGAACAGAATCTAAACCACAAGTAGTGTCCTTTCTAGAGTTAACAGCTGAATTGAATTCGGTCAAGGTAAAAGGTTTGGTAAGATAATCACAATGATTATCATTTGAGAAATGAGGAGTTAGAGGTGATTCATCTGTTTCTGGAGTATATTTTTTCAAAAACTCATTAGCCCAATTAGAATCTATGACTGATGTGTTATTATGAACAAAAGTTTTGTTAAACTTTTTAATGTAATTCCATACTCTAGTCAATGGAGTAGATCTATTAAAAGTTTCACATGTGTTTTCCAGCTAAACTGTCTTTCAGTCTTCAAAGTAATTTTTTTATTAGCTTGTAGTCTTTTAAAATTAATATAATTTCGTTCTGTGGTGTTCGCGACGGCCCAACGACTTTAAGAAACAAAGTGATGAAAGAATATTGTTTTGTATAAAAAGTGAAATTACCAACGAAATCGAGTAAATAGTTTGTTAATATAGTTTTACAGTGTGTTTACAACTCTTAATATAGAATATATTTTTAATAATAGTTAATATAAACAACTTTGTTCGTTTAAGAAAAAATCGACCAATCACAGCGCGTCATATCGTAGAACTTTCTGGAAATTTAATTAACTGCGCAATAGTTTATACTAAAAA